TCTGCTGTTGCTAAAATGAAAATTCAGGAAGGTGAAATACTTGGTCAAGGTTTTACAGTTGGTCAGAGACAGAACCAAAACCACAAAAAGGCTTTTATTTTTATTTTTTTATTTTTTTGCCACTTTGAAGTGTTCAGTATGAGAATGCCAACAGATACTCTGTCAGATAGGCAAACTCTATGTCAGAAGTAGTAAAAGAATTTCAGAAAAACCTTTAGTGCTGGGTCCCTAAAATTATGAGGGAAAAGAGAGGGCCGTGTGTTGACTTTCGTTAAAGAATAACACAAATTACTCGGCAGGAGAAGCCTATGGATGCAGGAGGCAAACAAAGGCTTCCTTTGTTCTTTAGGGAACTGGCTGGTATGCTCCGTGGGGACCTGTGAAGGAGGTTTACGGAGACTGAATGAATATTCAAGGAAAAAAGCCCTCATATTTTAAGCTGTGGCTCAATGGTCTAAATGACTAAAGATAACGTGCTATATAAGATGACGTGTGGGTCTCTGTATGTGTGCTGTGTGGGTCTGTGTGTGCACACACATGTCTGGGTATGTGTGTCACTGTGTTCATGTGTGTTTGCATGCACACATGCATGTCTGTGTGTATCAGACTACGTGTGCATGTGTGTGTCCTACGTGTGTCCGTGTGTGTATGCAGCTCCCAGCTACGGCAGGTGAGGGCGCTTCACACTGGAGAGAATCCTGGGCTGACCTGTGCTGCCCTTGACCAGCTTTGCCTTTTGAGCAAGTTATGTTGTTTTTCTGAATCTCTGTTTTTTACCTATAAAATGTGTGTGTGACTCTCACTATAAAAAAAGGGAAAAGCAGTGTGTTTAGTCACTTAGTCATTTTAGTAATTAAGCTGAATTGACTCTATTCGCACAAAATTTGGTTATCTTTTATTGTAGATTCTTCAACAAGATTGGCCTCCCAAAGAGCCATTTGTGGTATCTAAATGTACAGACAGCCCTCATGAAAATAGGAATTGCCTTGATTGATCCTTACGGCAACTCCACGGGTGAGGAGAAGCTATCTCTGCTTTGCATTTGAGGGAACAGAGATTGAGAGGGGAGGTAATCCATCCTAGGTCACCCAGAGAGTTTCTGGAGGTCTGGGACACAAACACACAACTGACTCCAGAGCCAGGCTTGCGACCATTCTCCCTCACCTCACCACAGCCCAAGACTGTTGTGAGGAACAATACCATGGTGGTTATGGTACTGGCAACATTGGCATCTGGTTCTCTTTACTCAGCTAATGTTTGCCCTTTTCCTTGACATATCCGTTTCTCTTCTACATCCCAACTGGTAAACAATTTCTTAAGGTCATCCCTCCATTCTGCCTGGGTGGAGACACCAGGAAGAAGGAGAACTTGTGGGGTGGTTGGGGAGGGGGTGCCCGGGTGGCTCAGCTGGGGAGCGGGTGCCCGGGTTGGGGAGCGGGTGCCTGGGTGGCTCAGATCATCTGACTCTTGGTTTTGGCTCAGGTCATGATCTCAGGGTTGTGAGATGGAGCCCTGCATCCGGCTCTGTGCTCAGGGTGGAGTCTGCTTGAGAGTCTCTCTCCCTCTGCCCCTACCCTGCTCCTGCATGTGCATATGCGTGCTCTCTCTCCCTTCTAAAATAAATAATTTTTCTTTTTTTAAAGGAGGACTTGGGGACAGTTCAAACTGGACACGCAGTGAATGCTAGCCTCACTTCTCACAGAATCTGCTGACATATCTGAGAAGCCCCTGATGGTACTGGACTGGCCTTGCAAGCATCCGACAGCCGCCTAACCAGCTGCTGGCCCCTTCTCCTGGCACTCCATCCTGGAGGCCACAGAAGGAGAACCTCCAGGAAAGGACCGTTGAATCCCCACCTAATCTCTGGAGTCTCATGAATCTTTGAACTCTTCGAGTGTTAGATTCTACAAACTTGGTTCCCAGAAACAGACCGGTCATCAGAGGCCCAGATACTGAGCTATGAAGTTCAGGAAAAGCAGGGGAACAAAAAGGCTGCCAGGGGGTGGTTAACTTGAAACTCATTTAAATATAATCAGTGAGACACAGGAGCAAAATCTTATTTCCAAAATTATTATTTTTGTTTAGCAAGATATATAGACTCAATTTTGCACAGAAAATTGCCTAGGAAAAAACCTCTCAGTAGGGCTGTTTGAAAGCAATTTAATATTTTTAATAAGGCAAACGGCTTTGATTCTCAACTCTTTAACCATGAAATCTTAAAATCCAATGAAAGTCTGTTTTCAATAAATGCTGCTTTACAAATTTTATTGTCCATTTAACAATGAAAGAATATTAACATTCTTTAGACACTTAAATTTAATCATAATGACAAATATTGAGCTCCCTAACTGCCCTTTATGTAATTTAGTGCCCATAAAATATGGGTTTGCTTTTCTGATATTTCGGCTCAAAATTGTAAATAAGGTCAATTTACCCAGCAGCTTGCCAATTTTTGAGCAATTTTGTGTCATTCCCAAGCAGTCATTTAGAAACATAAAACACAACATAACGCATGACAAATAAGAACACTTGAGAGGTTTTACATTTCCTTCCTTAAAACATTATTTCAAAGGATTTGGGCAGGAACTTATCCCATCCAGAGAGGTCTGAAACAGGGGTACCAGAGAGGTGGACAAGACCGGCGTCCCTCAAGGAGACAGAGGTGGGGAGCAATTTCCCTCAGTTTGAATCCTCTCGCTCTAGTAAGGGAATAGACAGTCCATTGGACTGGTCTTTGGTAGACTGGGGCTGTGAGCACTGTTCCAAAGCCAATACTGCCTCACAGATGCTCAGATTCTAGAAAGTAAGGATAATCATAACACCTCTCACCCACGATTTGGAGAGGATTTAATTCAACATTATATATGAAAGTATCATCAAACCCGAATCTGCCCCTTTCAAGTAAGGGGGTATTAGCATCTTTTTCATTGTGTCACTCAACACCTTTGCTGACCAGGATCACAACTTTGGTCTTGTGTCTGGCAGAATCTCTCTCCCTGTTGTTGCTGCCATAGAGTGGCCATAAAATGTTTGCTCTGGTCCCTGGGAATTACCAGAATGTGTGAGTAAAGCCACACAAACCCACTCCACTGCTAGAAAACAAACTGCATCGTGAATGTGTCCGTTGATGGTGTCTTCTCGGCCACAGCCCAGTGCAGCTGCTGCACACCCTCCTTGTCTCCTGCTGTTCTCCACGACAAGCTCCCCATCCACTTTTTTCCCTTATCTGCCTTATTTGCTATCTCCTTCAGCAGAATGTACGCTCCACTTGGGAAGGGTGGCCTGTCGTATCTCTTCCGCCAAGAACAACGATTGACATATAGAAACGTGAATTAATGATCTCCGGCTCGTGACCATTATGTAAGCGCTCATACATCTGCAGCCCAAGGAGACCTGGGAACCACTGGGAATGGTTCATTAAAGTTTATGTTGCTTTTAATGTTTTTAATGTTCTGATTCTGGTATATCAAAGCTCATAAAACAATTTTATTATTTTTAATGTTTTCAGCTGGCCTCCTCAGCAGTTTCTTATTCCAGCCAGTTTTGTCCTTTTAGTTTTTGTCTCTGTGAAGATGGAGTGTAGCTCCCATCTCAGATACTAATGTTAGATTTCTAGAAAAACATAAGCCATAATGAGGGAGTGCTACAGACCGTTTGTGCCCCCCCCCGCCCCACCCGGCCCCCAAATTCATATGTTGAAACCTAGTCTCCAATATGATGGTATTAGGAGGTAGGGCCCTTGGGAGGTGATTAAGCCATGAAGAACCAGGAAGTGGGTCATAACCAGACCCCAAATCTGTCAGTGTCTTGATCTTGGATTTTCCCAGCCTCTCGAGTTGTGATCACCACCCACTCACTGGTATTTGGCAATGGCAGCTCAGAGGGATGGAGACAGGGGGTTTCCCCCTCCCCTAAGTAGAATTTGTGTGTAAATTCCAAATCTGTTCTCCAAGCAGTTTCCCACCATTTAATGTTCATAAATTTCCCTTGTACACTCAATCTCAAGAAACTAAAGTGTGATTATAAACAACACTAATAGCAAAGAGGCACAAAAATCTCACTACCCTCTGCTCCCACAGCACTTCAGAGATCCGTCCCATTGTCCTGTGGCAGATTGGAAAGAGGGGGTTGTGTTCGGGGTCATGGACCATCTACCAGGGATGCTGCCTCCACACTTTACAGTGGAAATCCCTATTTAAAAAATTCTAGTTCTGTTCATTAGCTGCAACAGTAGAAGATGAACCTGTGAGGAATGTTAAAAAGAACCAGGAGAGATGGAGCAGAAGAACTAGGGGGCAGGGGGAGCCCATAACCGTGTTGCTTCCATGTATCTTGGAGAGGGACTTTCCTCTGTCTTTAAAAAATCACCCAGACAGTGGACAAGGCTTGACAATCCAGGAAAAAGATGCTTCTTACTATATTTAATTCCCTCAGGTCTCTGACTCGTTGAGTTGGAAAACAAATTCATTTTTGTAGGATTTTTCCTAAATAAGACTCTGTACTTTGCTTGTAGAGGAAGAAACAGAAGGTGATTCTACCGTGCAAATGCTTATTTGTCAGATGTTGTTGAAGAGAGTATAAAATGGAAGGGAGTGGTGAAGGGTCTTCATGTCCCCTTATCCCACCTGGGAGTTTCCTACCTCCTTTGTGACCTTCACTTGGCCACGTCTCCTGCCCTCAGGGAATTTTCCAGACAAAGCCTCGTGATTGGCTATCTGTGAAGTAGAGGCACAAAAGCCTTTAAATTTATCTCATCTATTTCCAGAAAGAAAGACACAATGCGGATGGAGAAGAATGCCACGGTTTGAAGACATTTGCTTCATCTAGAAAGTCTAAATCAGTCTCCGAAATGTGCAGGTGTGCTACAAATACATTTATTTCTCTTTTCATTTTACCCTGGAAGTTCTCTGGTGCTTTGACACAGACCAAGTGGTCACAGTAGGAAAAGCATGCACAGGCTTGGCCCTTGTAATTTATAGCATGCAGAAAAAGGCACTCACCAGCACTGACAGTGATGGCTTCAATAAACTGCTCTCTCCAGCTGTTTGTCCCAACCACAAGGGCTAAGTTTGTCTTCTTAATAAGTTTGTCCACGGTACTCTAGAAAGGTTGGAAAGAATAAGATTATAACTGCTGAGTTGGTTAAGGCCACAGGAAATCTAACGCCTTGTTGATTTTGAAACCCCAGAGCTACCCATAGGATGGTGGATGTTAGGCTCGGGACGACAGTATTGACATCAAACACTGTCACGATTGTGCAAACAAGCCGAGTCCTTGCTTGGAGCCCTTCTGAAATAGGAATCTCTCCATAGCAGATATGAGCCTCCTTCACTGCCTAATGGCCAGGGAAGAATGGCTTCAGTGTTTAGAACAGCAGATGTTGCAAAACCCCATGCCCTTCCCCTTGAATGTTTCCTGGACTTGCTTTTCTGCTGGCTTCATCGGTAGGATGCTGCCTGCAAAGGAATTACTATATGACCTGCCCAGCCTTGCATATCTCTGAATCACCACAACTGGCGGAGAGATTATGGAACGAAAAACAGTTTGTTTGTCAATGAACCGCAGCCAGACAGCAGAGCCCCAAGACTGGGGCTGCATGGTCATCAATAAAGAGATTTTTCCTTGGCTACTGATTGTTGTCAGCCTGGCACCTGTTAGAGAATTCACTCTAACTCTGCTTCTGTTGCAGGCGAGAAAAGACGAGACAGGAACAGGTGAATTCATAGGGTTTTGGGCCCATGGCCACTGGCGTCGCACTGAATTTCCCCATATTTTACTTTTCTCTTTAGACTTTTTTTTTAGCACTTGGTTTTATACAATTAGCACTCTCTAGCTTTCTAAACATCAGTTAAGGTAACAACAGGAACAGCTAAACGTTCACAGTAAAACTAAGCAAGCAGGTGCACTCAAAGCGCTACCACGAACCATAGCAACTAGAGGGAGAAGGGTCACTTCCGGGGCACGAGGCCGCTCTTCCCAGAGAAACTACCACACGGACTAGTCTACCGCACATCCACACTTACTGTCAGAGCATCCTCGATTTCCCACTAATTGTAAAGAGGCAGAAAACAAATATTATTTGTCTGAGGTCAAACTCTGTACATGACTAAATGCAATGGACCCGAATGGACTATGGTTTGGGAAGAGCACAAGTTCTCATCTCACTGGAAGTAAGGAAAATGGGACCCAAGCAGCCTCTGTGGGAGGCCAAAGCTCAATCAGAATGTCACGTGGGTTCGTTCAATAAGGGTCATCTGAACGCGGAGATGATAATAAGCACTGAGGGCCCATCTCCAACTGGCCCATTCTGTATTTTCAACATCTTTCTTTGCTCTGCTGTTTCCTCAGGGTGGCGACCTTCCACCCCGAGCCCGTGTCTCAAACTGCTAGTGTCCCTGATAACAGCTCTAGTGTCACTGCTCTTGGCCATGGTAACTTGAAGCACATGAGAAGCATGTCTTTTCTCTCTGGACTCAGGCCCATTTCATCAAGCACTCTGAGCATCCTGACTGATGTCAGTTCAAAGTTCTGTGTAGAATGTTACAAGAAATGACCTTGAACTTTCCTAAAGATCATGGAAACATGGACCAGATCTCCCCAAAGGAGCCCTCTCCGTTTTGATGCCAAGGCAGAGAATCCCATCACCTGGCAGATAAACAATGAAAGAGATAAGCTGTTCTAATAGTTCAACACACAGGCTTGCCTCAAGAAATCTCTCTAAAGAATGAAGTTTTAAAATAAATGAAAGTTAAAATTTATGTGGATGAAAAACCCAGGGAGATTATAAACTTTAGTTCATGTTGCCCCTGGAGGACTATAGGATAGCCTGGGTTCTTCCTAGGACTTAATTTGATTATGTGACCTCCCTCGACCTATGGGAGGAGGGGGGCTGAAGAAGATGAATTTGAAGTTCAGATCCCTGTACTTGGACATGTCCATCTATATTCACCTGGAAGTTTCCCATATGCCAATGATCAACTCTCACTGCCCTAGAGCTGGAAATGATCGGTGTAACCTCACCCTCAGCAGTGGGTATTAGGAAAGTCAAGCTGGGATATTGTGAGGTATCACCCAGGTTTGGGTCTTCAAGCAGTTCTGAGAGTCTTGAAAAAGGTCTTTAAAACAATTTTGGTCTAGAAAAAAAAAATGTCTTAAAAGAATGACATAATATCAAAATTGATATTTGAAGACAACTCAGGGACATGCTCCCAATTTCCCTTTTGTGTTAACAGTAACTACTGATGCACTTCCAGGAGGTGGGACAAAACAGTCTATGGAAGCTATTCTGGGATGATAAAAACCCTGAACAAGTGAACTTATATGAAGAGATGGGGGGAATATCAAATGTTCAGGTCACTGGAGTTGTTACTACACAGAACTTTGGACCCAAGAAAGCTTTGCTGCCTGGGAGACTGTGCCCTGCCATGCCCACCCAACTCAATGCTTCCTCCAGAAAGTTTCTGTGATGGCTCCTCTTAGTCATGGGTGCAAGGAAGGAGAAGGTTGAGGGTTGTCCCATAAGGGAGAGGACACACAATTATTCCCCATGAGAGCCCTGGGAGGTGGAGTGGGGGTGGGGACAAGCTTGCACCAGGTGCTCTGGTTCCAGGTGAAGAAGGTTCATGAGGAAGAGTGAGGTTGGATATGTCTGGACAGGCTGGTCCACAGAAACAGACAGTCTGCATCACCTATACCCTGGGATCACAGGGAACCTGTGTGTGTCTGTATGTGGGCCAGTCTTAGGTGTGCAGTAAGGCAGGTTCTAGATCGAACAACAAACTGAGCTCTGATAGTTGGAGTCGGCCTAGAAAACACTGGTCCCAGTCTTTACCCCTGCTCCTTCTTTCCATGGGAAGAGTGAAAGAAACAGTGATTTTTCAGCAGCCCGAAGGGGGAAGTTTCATTGCATTTTTATCTTTTAAAAATTCCACTGTAAGGCAAAAGATGTTTTTCTTTCTACCTATCTCCGATCAGGCACCTCACTTTGTGGATGAGTTTTAAAAAACAATTAATGGGTCCAGCTAAAGGAAGAGGCCACTGTTCTGAAACATCTCAGATAAAATACCGAGGCTTCCAAGTCCCTGGCCCGCTTCTCTCTTTTGGGATCCTCATTCTGGTTTTGCAAAGAGAAGCAGAGTCTGTTTTTGAAAAATAAGTGGGGAAAATACATCTGCCATCTGGGTTTGTGGTTCTGAAAAACCAGAGAATGATGTTCCTTTTCATGTCCCACTACAAAGTCAAGTGTGGCTCTCTTGGGGTCAGATGTCAGGGCTGCATGGGTGAGGTGGGATGGAAGGTGGGATAGGAAGCACAGGGAGCAGCTAAGATGGGTGGGAAGTTAACTTCAAAATGCTAAGCTCATCACCCTAAGGCCCAACTGCTTGATGTCTGAAAAAACGACTTTCATCATCGAGAGAACCAGGAATCCAATTTTATCAGCTCAACTGTAAACTCTCTGGTTATAGGCACTGTATACCTTTGGTAGGTTGACTGTGCTTATAGGTCCTAGGATCTGAAGAGGAGGACTAACTATAAATAAGAATTTGTCCCAGTGGGCTGGGTGTATTATAGGGAGAGCTTACCATCCCCTTTCCAGAACAAAATCCTCCTAATTGTCAGCAGTGTGAATGCTCTGCTTCTGATGAATTTATTTGCTTCTTTAAATAGAGCCCGGTTCCTTCCACACAGAACAATCTCTTGCAATTCCCGTTTGCTTCCTCCTTGCTATCCCCGCAGACAACATCCTCCCTTTAGGGAACCCCTGTGCAGGGACAGATGCCACCCCCAATACAGTTTGGTTTGCAGGACCTCTTGGTTCCCTACCAACTTTCCAATTCCAGCTCTTCTCTGAAAAGCTTCTTAGTTAATAAGCCGATTCTGGAACTTGCTAACATTATGCATAGTCTTGGTTCCAAGATAGGCCTGGCCTCCCCGTGGGCAGTGTTAGCAAGCATACCTTGAATTCATAGGATTCTTCAATGATCACTTCCAGCTTGGTGTGTTCCCCCAGAATGGGACGCCCCATTTCTGCAATGCGCCTCTCCTCTTCCTCTTTGCTGGTCAGCGGTTGCTTGTCATCACATTCCTCTGTGAAAGGGAAGGGCATGAAAGTTAGCAGTGTGCTCAATCCTCTTTGGACATCCCTGGATTCTGCTACAAGAAAACCAAGAAGGAAGGAAGCCCTGATGGCCCACTTAAAGTCCCTTGGCAAGATCATCAGTCAAGGGGAGAATTGGATTGAGGGTCGGGGCAGGCCACGCAGCACGTCACTGTCGTGCTTGTTGACAGCAAATGGAGAGGGTGATCCACAACCTGAGCAAAAGCCAAAGTGCAGATCAGGAAAATCACGCATAGACGTGTGTCACTGAGAAAGTCTCTGCCTGCACATCGTCTATGTTGAGGACATAATCTAGCCGTCCCCTGTGGTGCTGGCTCATCTGGCTGTTTGGACACATTCCTTTAGCAGGTCAAGGAACCACTATGAAAAGTGACACAAGGAATGGAGGACTCTGGCCTCCTCCTCTCCACTTTCTAGAGGCAACAGAAAATCCCCCAGGGCCAACGAGTTGAGTTGGTGGGAGGGAAATTCTGATGATAGCCAGAGTCTCTGTTGCAAGTTAAGAAGCAAAACATCCATTCCATTTCACTAAGATGTCTGTGCTCTAGTGCTTCCTCTCTCTGGTGGAAAGTTCAAATTTGCTAGGAAGACCTTGACCACGTTCATCTTCAAGTAAACAGGGAGGGCAGAGGTGAGGCCTTTGGGAGTTAATACTACTCACCATGTGAGCGTGATTATTTCCAGAACCACCATGTAGCTGCCACTGCAGGAGAGGCCAGTGAGGGTTAAGAAAATGTTAATGGACTTGAGAGTCCATTAATGAGGGGAAGCTCACAGTTGGCTCCTCTCTGTGTGAAGGTCATTAGGATAAATTCCAGACTGAAAAGGCCACGCACATGTGAAGGGTAAATGTTGTTCCTATAATCACTCTACCTCCTTATCCTTCAGGCCCAGGATGCTGGAACAAGACAGACTACTTCCCCTTAGAGTCAAGTCAAATGTACTTCAGCTCAAGGAAGTATGGGTGGTATGGAAAGACCTCAGCCCTGATGTCTTTGCTTCTAGAACTTTCCAGGCAAACTGCTTGCAGTAGGACTCTGTTGACTGACGAAAACATGAGAAAGGGAGAGACTTCTAGCCCACTCTTCTTGCATTTTGCATTTAGGCATCAGCTCTGTAGGAGTCCACAGCTCCCATCCCCTCCAAAGACATGGTTTCCCACTGCTAAGGACCCTACGGTGGTGGTTCCATTTGATGCTCTAGCAAATTTTGTAGAGAACTGGTTCCTAGGCTAGTTGTTCATGGTCGGGGCCCAGAGCAGATGGGCTAGGAATACTGCTAGCATTTTGTATACCAAGTGTCATAACCAACCCAAGGCAGAAGCAGAATGTAGCGTATTAATTAATTTGTTAGTATGGATTCGATAGTTTCTTCCTAAAGGAATATTTTAGAATCTGCTTTTCTATCCCCAGTTTTTACAGGGCCCCAATGAAATTAGATGAAGACTAAACATAAGTCATTTCAGACTGGCCAGAAACTGCTAAAATTTAGCAGGGGCAAAGGAGAGGTGCCAGGAAATTAATTTTAACTGTACAAGTAGTAATGTGTTTTATAGTAGGTTTGGGAAATTATGACCCAAGAGACGGCAAAGGGTTCCAACTTGTGTCCACAGGATTTGTCCTTGAAATTATGTGTGTGTAGCCATTGGAAGTGGGAGGCTGAGGTGTCTAATCCACCCAGTGCTCAAATCAATCACACTGTGATTCTCATGGCTTTCTGATCCTTGAACCCAGGTTAAGGTTATTGGTAGTTTCTTAGAAGCAGGTCACATTTGAGTGTCTTTGTTCAAAACCTTGGCTGAACATGGGTGTCTTAGAGACTTACATCAAATGAATTTTTTTTTCCCAGAACAACTGGGTTTATTATTTGAATTGCAAAGCCCCTGGGAGAGAATATTTATTATGGCTTCCTTTTCTGTAGTTTACTTAAAAATGATAAGTTGGGGGCGCCTGGGTGGCTCAGTGGGTTAAGCCTCTGCCTTCGGCTCAGGTCATGATCTCAGGGTCCTGGGATCGAGCCCCACATTGGGCTCTCTGCTCAGCGGGGAACCTGTTTCCTACTCTCTCTCTGCCTGCCTCTCTGCCTACTTGTGATCTCTGTCTGTCAAATAAATAAATAAAATCTTTAAAAAAAAAATGATAAGTTGCCTTAAATGGGGCTCAAGGCAACTTGGGTAGAAAACTGGGGAAATTATAAAAGAAAGGTGATGTGGTAGCATTGTTTAATGCCCCATTTCACAAAATGAAATTATTTGGAACATGGTGTTAGATAAATGGATGTGGTAGTAAATGAAATCAAATCACAGTGATTAAAAAGGTTATTCCTGTTTTAACCACCTCTCAATCCTTCTGATCAGGAAGAAATGCTTAGTTTGGTGCCATTGTGTCTGTAACTAGTTCCTGACATATGCTCTATGTGTATAAAGATCCTTTATTCATTGTTCACACGGGAAGTGAGGCATAGAGATGGGACAACTTGTAGTGCAGCAAGGTGAGGGCTGAGGGAACAGGGAGGGGAAGCAGCTTGCTCTGCCTATGGGAGTCAGGGAAGGCTTCAGGAAAGAAAAAGTACTTGAAATTGGCATTGAAGCCTCCAGAGAAGCTTGCCAAGGAAAGGTGGTGCTAAGGTTGGGTAGGAGGTAGTATAGTAAGAGGGGGCATTCCATGCGGACAGAAGTCAAAGCACAAAGGCATAATGTCATGGAAGTGTCAGGGCTGTTTTCACTTAGTAAATGTCACGAGCATTTAAGAGAGAATTACAGGTAATGGAGAGGAGACAACTGGATAAATCCTATTGTTGCTCTACGACGATCCTGATAAATTACGATCTACAGTGTAGATTTTTGATCCTGGCAAAGAATAGAGCTGGGGCTGTGTTTTAAAAAAGTGTCCTCTCTTTAGATATCTTTTATTAGTTGGGGAAGTAGTTTAACACCATTTTTTCCCCTTTGGATCATCTATTATGTTTGTTTCTTTTTTACTTTGTTTTATTTTGTTTCTTTTGTTTTGTTTCCTTTTCACTTTGAATATTGGATCAAGTGCTGTCCATTTCATTTCACTCTGGCCAAGTCAGTTTCACCTCCTTAGTTATGTCCAATTGGCCACATGTTATGGTTTTCATTTTGCTTCTCAGACAGAAAATTCATTCTCTCTCTCTGTCTCTCCATACAGATACATGTATGCTTTTTTGAATTCACCATATTTAACTGAGAAGTTGATAATCAATCACAGAACATCAGGGTCTCCACTAACCAGCACAACCTAAAGACCACTGGATAATTCATACCCACTCTTAAAATCTGTATTGACAGGACATAAAACCAGCCCGTGATAAGACCACCAGTAGAGGACCTCCCTTCTTTTCAGTAATTGATTTTGCAAATGACAAATCACAGAAGCTAACAGATACGTGGGTTGTCTGAAAAAGTGGCCACTTATGCTTTCTGGCTCGGCTACTTTTTGAAGCAAGAGCTCTGTGAGAGGTGAAGGGCTCAGAGGGAGAATCCCTATTAGAAAACAGAACAACCCACATGTAGATCTGCACCTGAGGAGCTACTGTTGCTGTTCTCTCACGTCCTGGCAATCTTTAATCTTAACCAACAATGTCAAATTTGGAAAGGGGTACAAGGCCAGCAGTGGGACAATCGTTCAAGGTTATTTTAATCCTTCCCTCAGATCTGCGCTAACAAGTCTGAGAGTAGAGACCTCTTAACAGTTTTCAGCTCCTGATTGGCCTCTCTGGTTAGAGCCTAAGGAGACTGGTTTATTAATTTCCACTAGGAATATTCTGGAACAAGTCTGCAGTCAGGTCTGGGTATCATGATTATCAAGTAGGGAAGTGGGACATGAGGATGAGGAGTGGAGAAGTGTTTCTACCACCACAGCCAGTGACGGTGATGGGGATGACTGAGGATTGAATATCCCTGTCGTTATCCAGACTTGGAGATGATGCCTGGCTCTAAGCTTACAGTAGATGTGGGATGGTTGTGGGATCCTCTGGTCACCTTGGCAATGTTCCCTCCGGAGAACCCCCACAGATGTACTATCATCCATGCATATGTGGCTAACATATTGTGTGGAGGCCAGAAAGGCAAGTTCTGCAAAGAAATACAACTTGCTTTTAAAGAAACTTCATTATACTTAGAATGAAAGGTCCATGTGTGAGAAGCCAGATTTGCAAGAAATCTGGAATATATTGAGACGTGAAAGGGAGAGGTCATGGTGTCCAATCTCCACTGCAGGCCCATGGTGCTCCCTCTACCAGGCCTCCCATCCTGCGTGGATAGGCTTGTGTTTTGTGGCCGACCCACCATATTCAGAACGTCAGAGAAGCCACTGCATTATTTAGCAACATTCTAGTAGGGACAGGGGCCAAAGTCTGCTACCTTAATGTCTAAAGACTTAAAGAACACTTGAAGATAGTTAGCTTCAAGCTAGTAAACTGTGGTTTTCAAGGACCACGATGCAATGAGTACCTGCAATGGTGATTACAGTAGAGGGAATCGGATGTTCTCTAGCATGAACTTTCCGGAAGACAGGTTGGCCTAGTGAAAAGGACAGGCAGAAAATCAGCAGAATGGATGGTGTTGGTTTGTTGCCAGAGCTCTGTGGAATTAGTCAGCTAAACATCACACCCAGATGCACACATCACAAGCAGTGTTAGTTTGGGGGCTGAGTGGATAGAGGCCACTCCAATAGAGGCCACAAAAGTGAGCAAATAAATGGGTCAAATGTGCTATGAGCTAAACCAGGTCATGTGAGTGAACTACACACTCCTGCAGTTAGGTTCCTGCAGGCATCTGAAGTGGAGTGTCCTTGTCCTTCAAGTTACTGCTTCCAGAGGCCTCATGAAACAATGGAAAGCACTCGGTGTGATGACAGGTAACCTGGTTTTGAAGCCTACGGGTGCCAATTACAAGTGAGCACGCCACTAACCCAGTTTCCCCACATGTAAACGGGGATAGTAGCCCCTGCTCCATCCATATTACAGGATTGTTGAGGGTTGAGTAACATAGCACCTGGGAACATGCTTGTTTGTTTCCTGAGCATCTGAATGGGGAAGTTTCATACGCTGGTAGGCTGTGCAAGGGTATGCCATCATCATAGTAACTGTTGGGTTACCAAGGCCTAGGATTTCTATTAAACTTCTGGTTCAATTGACTGCCAAATCCACCTGCTGTTGGCTTCTACCAAGGAGCTACCTTCAACATATCTGAAAATCGTGAGGTTGGGACTTGGTGCCAACTCCGTCAAATTCTTGCCATCTGAATTTGGGTAGAGCATTTCACTTCTCTGAGACTCAGTTTCCTCAATTGTAAATGAAGCTAAAGTTGAAGGGGATTTGTTCCTCTGCTGTAAGTACTGGAGGGATTAAAGTGTTTTAAATTTTCATACTTTGGTTTTCTTAAAAAGCCATGTACCTTGTCGAGTCTATTATATGGTGAGCATAATATAATTGGGAAAGAAACTTTTAAGGAAGTATATTGACTTTTGATATATAACTCTATGGCTGTCTGTTTGGGGAATCAGATGTGCCTCTCTTCTTTCCAAATTGAACCAGAATACTTAGTTTTATTAAACAACTCAAATTAATGTGCTCTAGTTTCCCCCTTCTGGGGTCCCCCTCATTTTTCATTTGACCAGAATACACACTGATGGCATTTGTGAAGCATCTGGGCTTTGGATTGCCAAGGGGTTAAAATGAACGTAGTAATAGAGACTGAAAGGGAGGAGATGAAAGTGCTGGGGTTAGGACACTCATCAAATGGCTGTGGACTTAAAGTCAGGGGGCCAGGCTCTGAATCCTGGATGGGTGATTTGGGGTGGACTGATCAATCACATCCGACCTTCATTTCCTCCCTATAAGTGAGAACAATAAAATCTTAACCCATAAGGCTGAAGATTAAATGAGATAATGAATATGAAATGCTTCACAAACTCTGATGAGCTATAATGTATAGGGGGTTATCATGTTATATGCCAAAAAGGTCAAGGGACAATGAGATCATAGGTTCCAACAAGGGCCTTTCAATGAGGCAAGGTCTAGGAGCAACACGTAAAGATTTGTAAATTCCAGAATCACCTCCAGTACTTAATGTCCACCACTAATGAAATCTCTGAAATATATTGGGCTGTGGACCAAATGACTTTTTCAATTTCCATATATCCTGCTTCAAATTTAGATTTTCACACTCAGCTGCACAAGACCACATAAAACCTGCAGGCAGAGTCCGAGGGCTAGATTAATTCTTCTCTATTGCTCCTGCATCTCAAAGCCGTGACTTCAAAGCCTCAAACTGACTTCAAAGAAAAGTTCTTTCGACTTAGAGCTGCTTTTCACTGTGTAGACCCCAGTTCTAGAATCTTCCCCAGGGCATCTATAGAGAGTGGATCCCAGGCATTCTGACCTGGATTGGGAGAAAAAGGGTGATATACACTGAGAAGAAAGGCCAAGGTAGAGATTCCCAGAGAGCTTCCGGAACATTGTCTTGTTCTAACTATCAATTTCAAGGGTTGGGAAGAGGTGGTAACCATAGAAAAACTATAATATCAAATTGAAGCCATAAGGAAGAACTTTATGAAATAACTACATGAAATGATAGAACTCTTTGGAAGAAGGGATTCTGTTCTCTTGAAGGCAAGATGTGTCTGAGGCAGGAAATGTTGGGCATTACCAGACAGATATTCTAGAACACGATAGGAACAATTTCTGAGAAAAGAAAACTAGGATTCTGTTATTACCTAGATACTTAAAAGGGAAGATGCTTCAAGTGATAATATGGAAGAAAGGCCATCAAAGCAAAATCCTGACATATTCAATAGGAAAAATAGGAAAGTATCTAAATATATCAGTGCATTTTAACAAGGCATTCTATAGCCCAAGATTTTGGGTGAAAATCTCATTATCAGGCTGCATAAGGCTGAAGGTGCTGTTAGAGACTACAATATTTCTACAACAGTTGGCTTTCTTCTTTCTAATTATTTCAGAAGCCATGAAGGCTGCCTTCCCCAATTTCCACAGCCCTCAAATCTCACAAAGTTAACCAACTTATTGGGTGACAGGAACAGTGTATTTCCAAGACTTCAGTGAGTTCAAATGAGGGGTTGAGAAAAAGAAGATAAATTTTTAAAAAATAAATGGAAATTCCTGCACTGGATTAAAAAATAGCATCTTCAGCAGCGCACAGTCAGGGAGACTTGACCTGGGAGAGCTTTGGATGGCTCAGATTTTAAAAATCCTCTATGAGGACTTGTCCTGTTTAACATTTTTATCCTTTGCAATTTCTGTGTCTCTGAGAGTCTGTGGATCGTTCTGTCATTAGATGCCATGTCTGGAGAGAAGCAGTGAGGAGCCAAGAGCCCCTGTGAAACTGCTCCTTTTCAGAAAGTTCTACTTTGGACAGAATCTAGTTGGAACCACCTGATCGCGAGTTTACAAGAACAGTGGTTTAATGAACCCCCAACTCCCCTACTACAGGATTGAGCAAAATTGGAATTTTGAGGACTATTTCCTTCTTCAAATGTTTTGGTTCAGCTGATTGCAGAAAAAAATAATGACAGTAGTGTTATCTGCACAATATATTGGCAAATGCTGTGGCCCGTAGGATGCCCTTGGAGACATCTTCAACCTGCAGTTTCAGACACATCACACTGACCACTTGATATTTCTCTGTCTCTCTCTAACTCTGCCTAGGTGATTCGGAAAGGGTGGGGGGCGGGAATATACTTGGAGTCAAAAGGGAGGATACTGGAAGGGGACCCCTTCTTCCTTCTGTACATGGGAAAACAGCTTTAGAGTTGTGTTAAGTAATGTGACCAACACAGGCTGGACGCCAGTTGGAATGTAAGAGTTTTAAACTCTTACAGTGGCACTTTGGGTCTGTATAGAGCACTGTGTAATGCACTTTTAGGGGTCATGTTAATAACACTCAAACTAAAATCCTCAAAGAGGGGCTCAGACTGATGTCATGGGATGAGGGGAAGGGACTGCTCTGTTCTCTGCTCACAGGGCATCACGTAGCATTAGGAGCCCCAGCCTGGTCCTGGATGTCCATCCCCACGTGTCCTCGAGGCCAGTGACTGTCTTATCTAATCTGGTACCCTGCAGCATCTGGCAGAATCATGGCACACCGTCAGTGCTATGTGAACATTTTCATATCAACCAGTATCAAAATGTGAACAGTTACAGGTTCTCCGTACGAATTTGCTTGTACTCAACACAACACACACATTGTTAATGTGCACAATGTTAAGTGTGTAAAATGAGCAAGAGCACACCATGTGCCACAGCTAAACGTTAACACAGGTTACATAAAATGTGGTTTGGGTTGGATTTTCCAGGGTGTTTGGGGGAAAATGAAGAACATTAAAAAAAAAAAATCTGTCTTACCATACAGGTACTTCCCTTCATTCAAAGCAAATAAAAATGAGAAACGATTTTTAAAAATGTAAACAACATATGGTGAAGACAGCAAAAAAAAAAAAAATTCAATGTCATTAGCTTTAAAAATTCATACCTGTTATTGTGAAGCCACCTAAAAAAGAAAAAAAGAATAAATGTTACTATTTATTTAATTTATATTCTAAATAACAAATACCAGTGATATCGGACTGCCTGGCCACCCATCCAAGATACAACATCTTGCCAAACTATATTTATAATTAAGAAAAATCTGAAAATATCCATTCACAATTTAATTACTACTCATTCTTTTAAGATTATGGGACTTAGTGCACAAATTTAATTCTCGTGCATACCTAAACAATCACTGGTCTTTAAAGAGATTGTACTAAACTAAAAATGGAATATTAACTGTCTAACCTACACAAAAATGAGGCCAATGGCCCTAGACAACAGTCTTGCCAGTCAATCAATAGATATAAAAGTCAGAAAGCTACTGTATCACCTGACATTCATGGAAAATCACCTAGAGAAATGGAAAGGAAATGGAAGAAATGAAATGCTTACCAAGCTCATTCAATAACAGGGCTGTGAAGGAAACAGACAAAGACAACACAGAATAAGAGACCAGATGAATAATGAAAGTAAGAGGAATATCAGCAGAAAGAAATACAGGCAGATCTTATTCCAGTGGGTAGGAAGCCACCGCTAACATGGGTGCTTCCCAGGGAAATGCAGCACTGGGAATATTTTCCAATAAACAATCCCAACACGAATTTTTTGCAAATGTGTGTGACTGATTAGATACGGATACAATTCCCCTTAGCTGTTATTTCTTGGTATTTAATAAAACATTTCTACTGACTATTCTTATATAATATAGCTATCTAGTTTACCAAAGAGAGTAGAAACGTTTTATGAAGTTGTTGTTAACTTCATTTGAGTAAGTCTTCCTCAGTAAATATTGCCCAGGAGCTACGAAGTCACTGAGTTCCACTGAATTCTTCTTCTTCTTTTTTTTTTTTTTATTCCACTGAATTCTTAAATGATGCAGAATTTCAGGTGTTATACCTTTCCTTCAATGAAAACAGATGAAACATCTTAGGAAATTCCAATCTGGCTGCCCTTCCTGAAGATGACTTTGGCCCAAGGTAAAGCTCTCCCTGAAGGTTCTGTTTGCATGGTAGTTCTTGGCCGTTGAAGGGACACTTATGTTTTTTAAATTCTCAAAACCTGAGTGCCAGGAATGAGCATTTATTTGTGTGTCCTTCTCTATGACTTCTGCGTGTTATAACTGGGCAATCATAATATTTCTTGTGGGAACTGACAAGGCAGGTGGTGGGGAGGGGGCATCGTATCTGTAATCTGATTTCTGGGTTATGTGCTTTACCCAGACTATACCACAGCACTTTATTTTGTCGGAAGCTCCCTAGCTAAACATATTATATAAATTTCTTTAGGAGCGCTGGGGAATGCTACAATTATGTTTTCAGCCCCATTTCGCTGCTAACGGCTAGTGGCATTAGAGGATACTTTCTAAAACAAGTCAGTAATTTTATTTATAGTGACAAGAATCCACTTGGAGGGTGTGAAACCAGATAGTGCTATCAAGGAATTTTAATTTGCTTTTACATGAGGGCATCTTTTACTAAAACGACAATTGAAAGAGCTGTATCCAAGATGCTCTTCCTTTAGATAGAAGACAGTGTTTTGGAGGAATACATTTAGAAGTAAGTGCTTTTTTTCCTGTATGCTAATGAGGCATTTTTGATCCCATCTTTGTAAGAAATCAGCTCTGTTTTCTAGTGTCTTTCCTTCTGCCTACTGCCTATGAAGCATATTAAATAGGCCGCATTAAAATGGGTCCCCAGTGCTCCATTCTCCATCATTCCAAATGGCTCCTGGTACCACTTGGCACATGACTAGGTCAGGGACATACACTTTTTTTCCTTTCTTTTTTCTCATAGACTCTGAAGTCACTGAGTTCTTACAAATGTGAGATTAAATTCCTCCAAATGTTGGATCTATATAGGAATTAGTCCTATATATTCAATATTTTTCCTTATGTGTAAAAGTATAAATTTCTTATGAAGTGGTCCATTTGATCATCTTCTATGCTAGCCATCAATTGTTTGGTTGAAATGAGTAAGAGCTTTTAATGTGTAGTAAACTCATTTTACATGTATAACTACACAATCTCTTTAAAATGGCCACTATTAGAGGATAATTGTAGGAAGCCCTTGTAATAATTCAGAATAAAAAATTATCTTTGAGGGTGGTATAAAATTCCTGTCCTTCCTTATCAAAAGTAGGCCATAGAAAATAGAAATAAAATCAAAGAGGACAAAGAAATTGGCTTCTTTGTTCAAATATTTTCCAAAAATATGTGAGTGCAACTCAAAAAAAAAAAAAATCTAGCTATGAGGATACGGCTGTTCATTTATTTATTTATTTATTTACTACATATGTTAGAAATTTGTCGATTCTATAAGCATCAAAATGTTTCTGAGCATAAAGCTGGCTAGGCTGTAAGCAAGGGTCAAATTCTTCCTGAAGGACCATATCCTTCCTACTAAAGGAAATTTGTATGACTATAGTTTCCTACATCTCGTCCCTTTTAAATGTCATTTTTGATGATATTAAAAATCTCAGGCCAAGATGAACACTAGAACGTGGATAACGCTACTCTTCAAGGACCCTGGTTCTTATTAAATATATATTTTTGGAAAACTGGGCTGTCTGAAGAAGCCTAATTACTGAATTCTTCCAAAAGTTCCTATTAGTTACCATTGGACTCATCTGTCAGGACTAGTGGGTATTAAGTTGTCTTTATCACGAACGTTCAAGGGGAGATTTAGCAGTGGGAAGTACATACGAGAATGATCCCTGAGTCATAAATACCTGAACACAGAAATCATGCTTTTAGATCCTCCCTTCTGAATTATAGAAATCTCTTCTAGTCTTTCTTCAGTCTGCTCTCAAAGTTAGTGGGGCATTTCCTGAAGAGAATGGGCTCTGTTTGGTGCATTTGTGAATCAGGGAAGGGAGATAAAACTGTTAAAGCTTCAAAGGAAACAAAGGATAGTAGTACTTGGAGCCGAGGAAGAGGAGAGAGTTAAGTGTGAGAGTAGGAGACACGGAGAGAGAAGAGTACAATTTCTCGCTGGTATGTCTTTGTATACTCTCACACCTTTCATTCCTCTTCTTATCCATTTTGGTTCCTCAAGCACAAGGGAGAAACTGCACTCTTTCTCATATTCCTCACGGTCAAATATTCTAATGGTAATGATCTTCCTGTGGGAACACAAGACAAAGGCAAAACAAATGGTTGGAGTCACACGCTCATGCTAGGGGTTCACCAAGCTGCATGTTACCGTGATGTTATGGAAGGGAGAACTGGCAACACATGGGCCTCACAAGTATGTAACAGGGCATGGTGGCTACTCTCAGGGGGCCCCCGTGACATTGTCTCCTCGTTGGCCACTTTCACAAATGCTTCCTGCTTCTATGAGCTGGCAGAAAGTACCCAGAAATCAGAGCGTGGCCTCCATTTTGGCGTGGCCAGCATCAGCCCTGCCCTTCCCGGAAATGGAGGCCGGGTTGACCGCCCTGAAAATTTGTCTCTCAGACCTGCCGGGTGCAGAGTGGTCAGAATTGGCTGATGGAGCCCCAGGCTGGGCCTGCTGTGGCCTGGGGGCAGGAGGGTGAGATCTATGCCCTGTTACATAGGTGGAGGGATGTGTGTGTTGTGAGCCACGTCTGAAGAGTGCAGGCATCCAGGGTGGCACAGGCCAGCAGAAGCTGTTGGGCTCAGCCCTGGAGCAGCTCCCCCACCTTTCTTCTCACTCATCTCCACCAGGCGGGGCTCTCCAATCTCAAGGAAGAAGGTCTTGTTTTTCTCATACTCCTCATCATCAATTACCTTGACTGATATTGTTTTGCTGAAACAGAGAAGAATAGAAATTGACGAACAAGGGGAAGAGGAAAGAGAAGAGAACGAACATAGAGAAGAGGAAAGCAAGGTTAACAAGCTGCACTTCCAGACAAATGGCAACTGAGAAAATTCTGTACTGTGACTCTGTTCTTCCAGGAGTGGTATGGGATAGTTCTGAAAGATTGGAGAGGTCACCCAATGCACAGCTCCCCTGCCCAAGGCCATGGGATGATTTTAGGCACTCAGGACTCACGGGTTTATCATCACCAGCAGAAGGAAAAGCAGAACACAGATCACAATAATAAGAAAAGAAAAATATATTTATTTGGTAAATGTTTTAACCATAGGATTGTCTGAGCCGTGGCCTGGAATTCATTCATTTAGAACAAATAAGTAAAACACATCAAAATATCAACAGAGGTTATCTGTGAGTGATAGGCTGATTGGTCCTTTTTTGGGGACTTCATTCTCTTTACTCTATTTCCAAACATAATATTTTTGTAATAAACCGTTATTAAAGTAATAAATGCATAAGACCATCACCAAATAAAATCAAACTCTTTTAACTTACCCCACCCAATGTCCTAGAATCAAACTCTTATTCAGGCTAGTCAGATTTTCCACCTAGGTCACAAGGGGAAAATGTTCATGTTTTTTCTAAAGATGGAAGCTGAGTCCTCCCAATAGCTGTTTTGAAAGGTGGGGGATGGGAGTCATGATGCTATACTGATTCTCATCCCTCCAAAGCTGAGTTTCAACTTTGACAAAATATATCATTTACACCACTTTCAAACTCCACCCATACACCAAGACATTCAGTTAAGAATTTTTCCCATAATCCATCTGTTAGCTCTTCTAGCTTTGGGGTTCTCTGGTTGTGAGTGACTGGCAGACTGTAGGACAAATGCAAATATTACGCAAATCTTAATTTCCCATAAACCTGATGACTGAAGATATATCGTTACCTTCTAATTAATAAAGGCTTAATCACTTCCTGTATTACCACATACTCAGAGCCCCCTAAACCCTTGTTTGTCCTTGAAAAAAATTTTTTTCCAGTAATACTGGCCAAGAACATTTCTGACTAAGGTTTTTTGAAACAATGAGTTTACACAGATGCATAGTTTTAAAGTCACAGACATTGTTTAGTTTTGGTGGAATTTTCTAGGCCTTCTGGAAGGAAATTAGTTTATAACTTTTTTTTTTTTTTTTTTTTTTTGAAGAGAGGTAGAGGTGGGTGGGAAGGGATAGAGGGGAGGAAGAGAGGATCTTAAGTGGGCTCCACCCTGAGATCATGACCTGAGCCAAAATCCAGAGTTGGACACCTAGCTCACTGAGTCAACCAGGTGCCACCCCCTTTTTAAAATTATTGATCAAAACCACCAAGTTTTATTTCTACCCACATATGCCAAAAAGCATCAGTGTTCTTTCCTAGTATGAAGGAGAAGAAAGGTAGAAGTTTCTTATAATTCTCTAAATTTCCTAACCCCTAATGCTAAATGCTTTAGTCTTGCTTTCTTGGGTTAACAGTGTGGAAATGAGATCAGATGACTGGTTCTGGTCCTTTGGAGCCCCATAACCAGCTCTCTGCTCCTCAGCTTACAAATATCCCCACATGATGCTCATATCTAATTTCTCTTTACTAAGGAGTTGGGGCTCATGACAGTGCTTTTTCTTTTCTACCTCAGCTGTGTCCTCAAAGACTGAAATACTAAGGCCAGATGAGCAGTTGTAAATGACTAAAGCAATAATCATTTTTTCAGAGAAGTTAGATATTTACAGACTTCCAACGGTGTGACAAAGTCCAACTTCATGTACACAGTGAACAATTCCTGTCTAACTTCTGGAACTATTCTCTGGAATGGACCTATTTAGTGTGTGTATATGTGTGTGTGTGTGTGTGTGTAAATATACATATCAAATCAGCCTACCCTGACTACACTAGGATATCTAATCATTCCCTAATCTCCAAAAGTTATAAATTATTAGAGAAAGTACAAGAAGATATAAGAAATGATGATACATGCATTCTTTATTTCAGAATTGAATTTGATATTATAAGTGAAATCAAATTTATTCTACAAAATTCTGCCAAATGTTTATCCTTTTTGTCATCAACCTTCTTCATTTTGGATATTAATTTCTATCTTCCTGCCTTATCATCACAAACTGCAGTTGTGTAGCTCTACTAAAGGAACCAGCTATAAGACCAAACATGGGAAAGGGTTAATGGGCATTAAGATGCTACCATCTTCTGGACCTCTTGGCCCAACGTTCATTATCACTTCATGATTGGGTACACCAAGTTGGATGCCATGTTGCAATGCTCTTGCTTGTATTACCTTGAAACATTCTACTTCTCTTTCTCCATCAAGTACTCCCAACCCATCCTACATCTCATCCCATGTTTTATTAGATTGCAGAAACAGAGTACAGTAGAGATGGTTGGTGTAGCCTGGTTAATAGGGTGAGGTTTTGTTTAGAAAAAGCTTCTAGTTTTATTCCCAAAGAGCAACATGACCACTCATTCAGAAATAAATAGAAGCAACCAAATAACGTTGTTTCTTATTCTTGGCAAATTTAATCCTCTATTGTCCTAACAGCTTTATTTCTTATACTCTGAGTAGCTGATGAGTATGAGATACATGAAGCCCCACACAGTTTGTTTGTAGAATAAAATAAGCACTGAAATTTATTTTTAGGTTACCACTATTTACTAAGATCATAATCTTTAGAAAATGTTTCAGAATTTGATAATTGTGACACTGGAAAATCAAAGAAGAAAAAGAAACCAGTACCTCTGTAGGTGCCTGACTAAGACCCCTAAAATAGATGGGATTTGCATAATGGTGTATTTCAAAATCATTAATAATACCATCAGTAGTGTGCCTGACAGGACAAACCATTAAATTATAAATTGATTTCGGTGTTCTTGCATAGCAAAATGATTAATAGGAAGCTTGTTTATGAAAGGACATTCTAGGCCATTGGCTGTTCTTCTTTTCTCTTTACCAATGGGATGCAGTCAAGTTTTCTTTCTTTAAAGATAGATTTATTTATTTATTTATTTATTTATTTATTTATTTATTTGATAGGCAGAGATCACAAGTAGGCAGAGAGGCAGGCAGAGAGAGAGAGGAGGAAGCAGGCTCCCTGCTGAGCAGAGAGCCTGATGTGGGGCTCAATCCCAGGACCCTGGGACCATGACCTGAGCTGAAGGCAGAGGCTTTAACCCACTGAGCCACCCAGGTGCCCCAAGTTTTCTTTCTTTAGATTGACAAATTAATCCAAACAAGACTGGAACAGTCAGGTAGACACAGCATTTCATCCAATGACAACTCTTACGCTCTTATTGCCCCATTAAGAAACAAATAGAAAACCTGATGTCATGCAATTTTCAACTACCATAATTATGAAGAAGATAATGAGAGCTTTTCATCTGATTTTTTTACACATCTCTCTGATGTTTTCTGGAAACTAGCAAAGCAGTTACAAATCTTATAACACTAAATAATTTCTCAGTGTAGCTAAAGTTTCTATGGAAATCCATCTTGGTTCCATTTCTAAGGGGGAGAAAAGGATTTGATTAAGAAAGATCAGTTTATTGAGTGAAAAAATGCAGGTTGTTCCTTTTTTTTTTTTGCAGTGCTTTTCTTTTGGTAATCCTAAACCAACATCTATACTTGACTTCTCAGTCTCTCTCTCTCATCTGATGGGTCTCAAAAGATCTGAACACCTTCCAACATTCTACCAAGGAGTTCGTAGGTCTGGTGGTGACTCAGACAGACGGTGCAAAAGGAAAGAAGGAGGTGGGGCTTTATTAGTGGAGGTGAAAAAAAAACCTTTAAAATACATTCTGACCTCTCCTCAGTAAGCCAAAGTAATCTGGACCTCTTTTTTATTTCAGCCTCAATTTTCCCTTCTGTGGTTTCTTCTTCTCAAGACTGCCCTTGATATTAGGAGAAGTGAGAAAAAGATGAGTTTGAAAAGAGAAGAGACTCTCCTTTTAAATCCCTATGCAAAAGATTTTAGTGAGGATTTCACATATTTAGATACTGCAATGGCTGTTTTAAAAATTATTATTAAAAAAATTAAACTCACTTTAGGCATACTGAGAGGTCACTGGACCTATGAGCACTTTACATTTCTTTCTTTTTTTTTTTTAAGATTTTATTTATTTATTTGAGTAGGCAGAGAGAGAAGGGGAAGCAGACTCCCTGCTGAGCAGAGAGCCTGATGTGGGGCTCGATCCCAGAACCCTGAGATAGCAGGCTCCCCGCTGAGCAGAGAGCCCGATGTAGGTCTCGATCCCAGGACCCTGAGATCATGACCTGAGCGGAAGGCAGAGGCTTAACCCACTGAGCCACTCAGACACCCCCACTTTACATTTCTTAATTCACCTGTCTTCATAACAGCCCTAGAAGAAAATTCTGCTATTTGCCAATTCACAGAGGAAACAATGACTCAGAGAAGTCAAATAACTCCCAAGGTCACAAAGGGCTGTAACTGGCTCCAAAGACTGATACCTTCAATTATATAACCCACAAAGTTCCTTATTCATTCAGCTGTGCAGTATTTTTATGATCACTTTAAAGGATCTGGATCATTATTTTAAATTAATATAAAGGTTTATTGTTTTAGCTTTATGTTAACAAGGACTGCTTAGATTAGCAATGATAGAATTTCAACTCTATTTTTAAAAGGAGAGGAGCACACCTATTTTATGATGGCTGCCCTAAAAAGTTGAATCCTTGGGGAGACAGAGGTCCTATCAGAAGTAATTGAAAAGTGCCATGAGTATGTAGGGACTCGGCAATTCTGGAAATTTTGAGCCACCAACCAGTAGCTTCAGTCTCATGCGGAGGTGGGGTGGGTACTTATTAGAACTGCAGAATCTCAGGGGCCATGCCAGACCCTCCAAATCGTATCTATATATTAACAAGATACCAGGATGATGCTATGCATGTGAAAGTTTCAGAAGCATGGATCTAGATGTGTTCTTTTATT